CTACCCAGATTTACCAATGACACAGGAAGGAAAAATAATAGTCCTTGATTTGACTTACAAGACTTTTCTTTAAAAAAGGCTTATCTGAAAATTTATAAATATTTCAATAGTCTTATTTTCATATCTAAAATGGAAATGATCTGTCACCTTTTTGAGGGGCTATAATATACACTTGAGTTTTCGTGATGTGAATGCTAGCACATGGTCACACTCCTGTTTCATTCAGTGTTAGTGCCTCTTCCCCCTTGCTGCAATCTCTCACCTATCACACTTGTTTGACCTGATCATAATGCACACCCTGATGTCATTCTACAGTGTTCTGCCTTTTCTGCCATGAACCTTTTCTCCATCTCTATGTTTGTTTTGGCAGATCCATGTTCTTTCCATTAAAAAAATATTTAAGCCCCTGCAGTGCTTTTGTAAGATGGTTTCTTTAGTTAAGTCTTTTTATCAGACTCTTGATGTCTGCTCAGTGGAAATCGCTAAGAAGAAACAGAAGCATGCAAAAACTTGTGCAAGGAATGAAGAACTAGAAGCTTGCAAAACATGTAAAAGAAGCAAGGAATTAGAAGCATGCAGAATGTGTGAAAAAAAGTGAAGATGTAGAAGCATGTAAAACTTGTGAAAGAAATGAAGCCGTAGAAGCACGCTAAACATGTGAAAGAGATGTCTGAAATGACCCTTATTTCACTGGAAGCTAAATGTATATAATAGAAATCTGACTTAATTACAGTGATCTGATTTACGCTCCCATAATTTGTATTGTTTTCAGGAGAAACATGGCAATTGCTATATTCACTGTGTAATGCTCTGTCCTGAGATTCATTGTCCTGATGGATTCTAAATATGCTTTTGGAGAATTAGAGTGCCCCTGTGTCACTTTTGTCTTTATTTCCATTATTTTACTTTCAAGAAAAGTGAGATATAATTAGGACTGGTATTCCAGCTGAGTAAGCTCTCACTGGGATGTGGATTGACTCTGTATAAGTAACTTGTCACCTTGGGAAAACACATATTGATCCTTAAGACACAAAGATAAGTTTCTCTCCTGACAAAATACATGCGCACTATTTTTCTTTCTTTTACTAATCTTATTTAAAAGTTATTCTAAACGATGTGTGTGCATGCATGCATGCATATGTGTATATGAGCATGTGAACGTGTGAGCATGTGAGCATTTGTGCTTGGGAGCCTGTGAGCATGTGAGCATGTGTGCATGTGACTATGTGAGCATGTACATGAGAACATGTGAGTATGTACATGTGAGCATATGAGCATGTGAGCTTGTACATGAGTGCATGTGAACATGTGTGCATGTGAGTGTATGTGCATGTGAGTACTGAACATGTGTGCATGTGAGCATGTGAACCTGTGAGCATGTATACATGTGTGCATGTGAGCATGTATGTGTATATGAGAGCAAGTGAGTATATGTACATGTGAGCATATAAATATGTGTGCATGTGAGCATATGAGTATGTGAGCATGTGAGTATGTATACATGAATGCAGTGAACATGTGTGCATGAGAGGGTATGTGTATGTAAGCAATGAGCATGTGTGCATGTGGCTCATAAGCATGTGTGTGTATATGAGCATGTGAGTGAGTAAACATGTGTGTGTGTGAGCATGTGAGTGTGTGAGTGTGTGCGCATATGTGCATGTTAGCATGTAAGTACAGTCTCTGAAGGAGACAAGAGGAGCTTCGTCTTCTGGAACTGGTGGTTATGAGCTATGGGATGTGAGTGTTGGGAACTAATCATGGATTCCCTACAAAATAATTACATGCTCTTAACTACTTCTCTTTGGTCCCATTTTACTAGGTTTTTAAAGGTAATTTTTACTTTTTGAGATGAGAATATAATTAGACTATTTTCCCCCTCTTTTTCCTTGTCCTATACCCTCCCGTGTGTACAAATTCTCTCTCAAATCCACGGATTCTTTTTCTTTAATTGATGGTGTGTGTGTGTGTAGTTGCATGCATATGCATGTATAAATATTCCTAAGTACATAAGTATAACCTTCTCAGGCTGTATAATGTTAACTTCTGTGTGTGTTTTCAAGGCTAACCATGTGGTATTAGATAACCTGTTAGGGGCTCTCCTCAAGGGAAGGGTATTTCTCCAGCTCTCAGCATTCCTTAGTTGTCTTTATCTCAGGTTGAAGTCTCATGATCATCTCCTAGCCATTTCTGTTGTCTGTTGAACCGATCCTTGTTCAGTTCATGCTTAGACATCTCTGTTGGTGAGGCTTCATATGTGTAGCTTCTGATACTTCTACGAGACACAATCTCACAGAAACCTCCCAGTTCTTTGGCTCTTACAATCTTCCTGCCCCTTCTTCTGCAGTGTTCCTAAGCCATGGGTATTGGAATTGTGTTGGGTAGGTATCATTTGAACTCAGTTCAATAACTCTGCAGTTTGGTTGCTCGTGATTTTCATTGATGGTCTCCATGTATTGCAAAGGATGACTATACTCTCTGGCTAGGCCCTGGAGAAGATGGCTTTTATTTTAATTTAATAGTTACCTTACAAATGGATGAGTTCTACTATAGTAGTTTTATACTGTATAATCCATGTTAAGATTTCATGAAAGCTGCTTATAGTCTTTTTGCATATTTGAATATGTCCAGGGAAAACAGCTTTCCAAATGTATCTCTAAAATGTTCATGAAAATATTAATAATTTATGGTCAGACACTTATGAGGTTATTTATCAGAGTGATTTTTGACATGAATATGTGAGATATTTCTCATCCTAATTAGATTTTGATTACTAATTATGGTTTTTGTAAATGGGATGTCAAACAAGCAACTCTTCAATACATGAGAGTCTGTTTATGCAGGGCATTTCCTTGGTCAGCAACCCAAATGGAATCCCTGCTGCCATTTATTCTTCCAAACATTTATTTATATGCATCCATAAAGAGAAGAATGGTGCTCCTGACCACATCCTCAGGGTTCTTCACTGCTCTGGGCCTTAGTTTCCTCACTGATAGAATACATCTCCCTTAAAGAATTTGTCTTTTGTTCAATTAATCTGTCATTATTTAGTGACAGATCTTACCACTGTTTCATGGGTACCAAAAGCTATAAATTAAACCTACACACTTGTTCTAAAATCAGATACTTCAGTAAATGGAGAAAGGTTATTGAGGAATGTTGAGAAGGAAGAAGGGAGCTAAGTGGAAAGCACTGGTAAGTAGAAGCCTAACTTGGGAAGAACAAAGATGAAGGGAGTTGAAAGAGCACTGTAGAAGGGAACACGGAAAAGGCAGGAATTACAGAGTTGTTCCTAGCAGTGACTCTTAACAGAAAATTACTCGTCTGCATGTTTGCAGCACAGAGAACAAACTCAACACTGAGTGAGTGCCCCAAATTATGCTCTCCAATAAGCAAAAAGTTCTCTTCCATGTAAGGATTCAAAAGAGGCCAGCCTGAACATTCATGGACATACATGAACACATAAGAGAAACGATGATTATTTTGGCAAACATACAGAGTAACTTTAGTCAAGAGGGTAGAAGGAAAGCAGCACACTAGAATCATTCGACAGGCTCATTACAATGAAGAGCTGCAAAAGAGATGAGTGTGTGAGATGAGTGTGTTGGAGCAGGAGGATATGCAGCTGCGGCTTATACTAGCTCACTGGCCAGTGCCAGTGGAGCTGAGAATGTCCTGACGCAACGTTGAAAATTCTAAACGGAAAAAGTACTTTTCAAATGCATGTGGTTTGAAAGCAAAGAAGGAAAATAGCAATGACTTGAAAATGTAACATTTTCCCTGCACTGTCTAGTGCTACAAAATCATGGTCTAAGTGGTTGTTTTCTTTTTTTTTTTTTTCCTTTTCTTTGTTTTAATGAAAGAGAAATTTAGACCCAGAGACATACACACAGGAAGAATGTCATGTGATACCTGGAATAATGGTAGCACCATGGAAAATCTACAGATATCTAGGAGAACAAATCCCCCAAAGAAGTATGGCCCTACTCATACATTTCTTTAGATCTTTGCCTCCAGAAGTGTGAGACGATGTATTCTGCTGATAAGCTACAGTGATTCATCTTAGTTATAAGAGTCTTGGAGAATTGATGTAAAGGGTGTCAATGGAATTTGTTCTGTGATTTTTTTTTAAAGCCTACATAAATGACAGCAGAAAAGGCCGAACAAATGAAAGCAAAATTAAATGTGAGGAAAAGAAGGGAAACAATGCATGGTATTTGTGTCAGAAGAAGTGGGAAATGCAACCCAGAGATTTGGGGGAAGACAGTTTAAAGAGGCCAAACATCTCCCTGAGATAAGACAAGACATAGCCCTCGTTGAGTGGCTCAAAGATGGTCTTAAGTAAGGGAAAAGGACTTCTGGAAGTTTATGGTGATGCTTTAGGGACAGTCTTCAAGTATCAGAAGCTACTAGTAAAAAACTAGTAAGTGCTGTGCAGAATGCAGTTACATAAAAGAAAAAGGATGATGTCGATAATGATTAAATTCTAATGACATTTAAAACAAATTCTGTGGAAATTTTACATTATTTTCATTTAAGTCAAAAGAAGAGTTAATGTTTACTAACATATTTTTCAAATAAATAGTAGTGACTGTTTCCTGTATGTCCCCTAGATGTGTTGCTTATGATCACTTTGATAAGAATAACTTTTCATGAACAGAAATGGAGCACTAACAAGCTCACCAGAGTAGGACAAAGAGCCTTCATATAGAGAACCACCCTCTCCTGGGAGGTCTCTGACCTATAGTATGCAAAACTTGAATGGCCTGTTCCTGAAAAGACTAGCTTCTGAGACATGATTTCAAAAGCATAATATTATCAATATTTTTTTAAGTGAGGACAGAAAAGATTTGTTGATGTAGCTTAGAATTAAGTCAACGATGAAGGCAAATGAATACATCTATCTGTGGGCCTGCGTTAAATGCCAAAATTTTTAATTCACAATAATAATCCAGAAACAAAAACTCAAGAATATTAATATTAAAGTGTTTTAACATTACCCTCCAAAAGAAAGACTGCACAGAGAAGTGAGATCCAAACACTTCATTTTCTGAGAGTTCCTAAAAACAAACGGACATTTAGCTAAATTTTAAGATACTTTTGAGAGTGCTAGCAAAAACAAAGCAAAACAAAATCAAATCAAACTGAAAGTCAAAAATCATAATCGAGACACTTGGTTTTGTGAACGACAGTTTCTCCTCTTGAGTAAATGACTCTCTTCCCTCTGTCTTTTCATCCCCTACATCACTGAGGAGGTATTTTCTGTAGGTTTAAGAGTTTACTTACCTCTTTGTCCTTAACTGCTCTGAGTCTAATGTTTCTTGACAGAGAACATAAGTACTAAAGCACATTGCAAAAATTTAAAATGAAATAGACAACATTGTTTCTTTTCGTAAAACCATTGTGTTAATCATAGACCATGGGATTGTTTTAAAATACAAAAGCATAAATCTTATTAATAAAACATGTATCTAGTTAAATTATAAAATTTCTCAATTTTCCTGGTATGATACAATATATACAATAAATGCAATGCAAATGACTTCATTAACTTGAGCTCTGACATATATCCTCACCCTAATTAATTACATTTTTTAAAGCTTCAATTTCTTTTCCTTTGGATAGTACATTGTTCTAGTCTGCCCCTGAGTATCATTACAATGAAGTCATGGGATACTGATGAGAATCTGGGGGTGGTTCAGTTCTGACACTGTTCTGAAGTGGAAGCAATCTTACTATGCAATTTTTTATATTTTGTGATACCAACTGGCATTATAGTGGTCTACATCTTACATCATGTCTAAGGCATAGTCAGTACTCAATACATTTTGTTAACTGACCAATTGGCATTTGATTAAAATCTTATGTCTTACCAAACATGAAAACAAATAAGATAGAAAATAATATTTAACAAAGATGTTCTGGAGTATTTGTCAATTGGAGTAATTTAATATTATACAGAAATGTTTCACAAATGACTATGTAATTTAACCAAATATGTATCTTAATGTAAAAAATTATGATTTCCCAAGTTGCTTGCTTAGAGTTTGGTCAGGTAGTATTGCTTATGGCAGAAATCAACAGAAAAAAGGTTTCTTCATTTAAAATATCATTTGGTCAGTAATAAAAGGTTATGATTTGTTTATATTTTATAGTATTCATGAGACATGCTATCACAGTAGAATCTCAGCAACAAAAATTCCTTTAAAAATTACAATTACATCTCAGCCTCTGTCTTTCTTGATATCATATTTTTTTAAAAAGATTACTCTGAATTTTAAGTTCTGTTACCAATTATTTCTTATTTATTTATTATTGGGGTGTGTGTGTGTGTGTGTGTGTGTGTGCGTGAGTGTGTGTGTGTGTTTGTATGTGTGTGTGTGTGAGTGTAATCAGTATTTCCCTGTCATCTTGTGGGTTCTGGGAGTCGATTTCGGGTCATAAGACCTGTAAAAATATGCCCTTACCCACTGAGATATCTCTCTTGTTCTTTATCTTATTATTTATGTTAAACAATCATCTGCATGTTAGAGAAGTTTATGATTTTATTTAATTGTCATTTCTCTTCACTTTGACTGGAAATGTTTAAATAATTGATCTGCATGTTTAGCAGCATGTGAGACAATTTTAAATATCAAGTTTCAATATCATATTTGAACAATTAAGCATGGGATCCTAGTTTTATAAGTGGTTTCACTCTACATAAGTTGAGGCAGTATCAAAAATTATACCTCCAAGTGAGTTTAAATCATAAGGCATAATGTATAAACTAAATAGAGATGAAAGTTTTACCTCTAAATCCAGCATAATGCAAATATTTAAAAGTAAGATTTGCACATTTAAAGCTTTAGGTAGTTTTATGTGACTGATACTAAGCTGTATGAATATTACTTTGTAGTCTTCTTCAGTTAATAACAGAGGACATTTACCTTATTATTTGGTTAGTATACAAAGAAGAAAAAGATATGCATGAATCTGGTGGTTGGAGGAGTCTTTAAGGATGAAAATTTAGGATTGGAAAACAAAATTATTGGATACATTAGGATTGACCCTAGTCCCTAGGCCATACTTTATAGACTCACCCTAGTTCCTAGGCTGTACTTTTTAGATCCACCATAGTTCCTAGGCTGTACATTTTATGCCATGTTTAATTATTTTTATCACTCATCAGATACAATTTTTAGTTCATTTTACAACCCACATTCTTATGTAAATTTAGGCCTTTATTTCAAGTGAAACAGTTTAATTTTCATGTGCCTTCTAGTGCTATTTATTGCCCCAAATTAATATGAAATTTACAATAGACCAACCCAGGAGTAGTTATTATTGGGAACAACAGTAACAACAAAAACAATAAGAAAAAATAATAACAGTAGCAGTAACATTAATAGCAAAGAAAATAATCATCACAACACAAATAACAGCAAAGGCAACACCAATAACGACAGCAATTAAAACAATAAATGCAATAATAAACAATAGCTACAGTAACAAGTTAATAACTACCACATAACAATAGATGCAGTAACAACAAAGCGCTGGCATTATGATGAGTCCAAAACAAAAGTACTGATTTGAGTTTGGAGAACACAGAGCAATTGTGAATCCCAGAGAAGCCTTGAGTCGGTCATTATGTAAATATGAAGTGATACTTCAGTGTCCATCAAGATAAGAGACTTCAGAGTGGGGGAAGGCAGCAATATGACAGTGCTAAAATTATAAATCAACACTGAAAGAAAATTGAAAATAAACACGACATCAATTTGATAAAAGACGGTCATCAAAATTATCCTGAATAATGAACAACTGAACTGCTTCTATTGAGGTTTCTAATTTATCACACTACCAAGATCCATTAGTTTTGTTACTTAGGTCTAATTCTGCCTTAAAGTGGTTTTGCACTGTAAGGGAATTTCTCCTCAAAGGTAAAAAAATCAAACTACAAATCTAAAATTTAATCATATTTTTAAAATTAAAAAATCCAAAGGATAATTTTCCTTCAGAAAAATAAAAGTGCAGTTTTACCAACAATGGAATAATTTTTAAACTGTACATAAAATAATTCACAAGTATCTTTTAGGATTTTGTTATCAGTTGGAATGAGGATTAGCTATCAACATTTTATTGAAAGTGATATTTTTCATCAGTATACAGATCTTGAAACATAATCCACATTATTATAATGTGGAAATCCTTCAAGAATCAAAATAATCACAGGAGAAAAACTTGAACCTGTGATCCTAGAATTCAAGTGTCAGAATCAAGTCAGCAATCTAGATTACAACAACCTGTTTTTATATGTACATGGCATATTTCTTTTCATTGGTGCTATTTTGCACATTAAAGAGATTGGAAATGTTTGTAAATTTATAAGCAAATTATTACATAAGGTTTTCTGGTCAGCTAATCATTGTTCATAAAAGTTAGGGTCATGGGATGCTTCCATCCTACCAAAAACAATGATCTAGAGTATTGACTAAGCCTTTGAATAACCATAGGATTTTCATACTAAATAAAGTCAAGGCAAAATTATGAATTATTTCCATTTGAGTATTTAAAGCACTTAAAATGAATAAATTATCTGTCTGTCTGTCTATCTATCTATCTATCCAGCTGTCATCTATCTATCTATCTATCTATCTATCTATCTATCTATCTATCTATCTATCCAGCTCTCATATGTGTATTTATCCAGCTGTCATCTATCTGTTATCTATCTATCTATCCCTCTACCATCCACCTACCTAGCTACCATCTACTCTTCCATCATGATGCCATACACATCTCTGTGTCTGCCTTCTGATCTGTTAACCTGGAGTCAGATGCATTAGTTTCCCCTTCTAATCATCTCAGGAAGGATCATAGGGAAACTGGTTGGCACTTTGTTAACACATTCACAAAGCAAAGGTCAATTGGCAATCACACAATAAACGTCTCACATATAGGGCACAAGCTTGTTCCATCTTGCCCTCAGGGGTATACTTTATTCTTTGAATTTAAACCAGATCATCCATATTTATCCAGAAAAAGCCACAATATATAAGTTCAAAAAAAGCAGTCAAATAAATGTAATGTCATTATTATAGCAAATCTGTCATTATGAATTGAAGTATATAAAAATCTAATTTATGTGTATAAGGAAATATGAAAACATCAAGGAAAAAATCATTTCACTATCAGATTTAACTATGGCTTCATGTACTTTGTGGGATAATCAAATATCATACTCATATATAATATATAATATTTATAAAAATAAGTGAATTTATTACAAATGTAATAACTGGTGTTCAAATACATGCTATGTAATAGAACTCATCATTGCTGTTCAACATTTATTACTTTGTATTTTAGAACTCCAGAACAATCAATTCTGGTATAAGGTATTATTTTATAGTATTTTTAAAAAGAGTTGGTAATAAAATTACAGCCCAAGTAAGAAATTTTAAATGAAAGTTTGTTTCTTTGAAAACATGTAACCATTTCCCATGCTCAAAGACATGTGCTTGTAATTATGAATGGTATACTAAAGGAAAAGCATTGTGAGCACTCATAGCTGAGAGCCTCCTACCAGTAGTTTTCATTTTAAACCTTTTCTCTTCTTTATAATCACCTGTTTATCTGCAAATAACATCTTAGTAGAAAAACCCAATAATTGGTACCCAAAATCCTTTTCATGCCTGACTATGTGTGACACTCAAAAATGTGTCCATCTGTCTCTGTGCCCTTACTTAAAGTATTTACAAGTCATTGATGTGTTTTTAATGTGTTATGCAAGATGCCAGTTTAGCCATGCCCTGCAGTCTTACAGAGCTCGGCGTTCCCTAGTTTAAATTAATGATATCTTTGCCAGAAGTCTTATTAAAATTGCTTCATTCAACCAGTGGGTAAAGTTTTCTTATTTCATTAGCATCATGATAAGTGGGTATAATAAAAATATTTACCAGAGTTATGTTGCTAAAAGAGATGTAGGCTGTCAAATAACAGAAGATCTGTAATGAGATACCACCACAATAATCTACATTACATAATTTGAAGGACAACATTATCAAGAAAACGATTAAAATTATTACATATAGGATTTTCACAAGTATATCTCTATACGATTACAATAGCATTTTCTTTTTTAAAATAATGTCTTGATTTACCCATTGAAAATTTCACAATTACAAGCAGCATATTTTAATCCTCACCACCCCTTCCCTGTCCACCTGCCTCCAGCTGCCTCTAGAAGCTCCCCAACACATCTTGCCCCCAACTTTGTGTCCTCTCTTTTTAATTACTGTCTCACAGATTCCAATTAGTGCTTGCCTATGTGCATGGGCGTGGCCACCCACTAGGCCATGGGAAAACTATTAGAAGGTGCACCTACGAAGAAAAGTGAATCTTACTCACAAGTCATCAAGTGCCAGTAGCACTGATTCAGCTGGAGGTGAGGCTGCCTACAATAGTATTTTTTCAGATAATTGAAGTAATTTATTGAAAACATGTTTATTATTTTTTATGTAAGGTAAATTATCACTATATACTACAGGCTGATATGAAACCATGATTCTCCCTCATCTACCAACATGCTTAGTAGTAACTTGTTTACTACTACTCATCATAACCATGGATAAACTCTCCCCTGGGTTAATCACAGCACTGAATAAACTCCAAACCAGTCAACCAAGACAATTATTTTATTATTTCATTTCTGCTTTTGTTTTGACCCCTCAAAATGCATTCACTACATATATACAAATAAATAAACTCACTATATGATAGAATATATATATATATATTCAATATGTATAATGTATGTATAAATTTGCCATAAAACTATTTTGAGCTGTTGGAATTTTCTTGATGAATAATTTATCTTTAAATAAATTATCAATCATAGGCTTCTTCTAAAGAATAAAGGATTGAAATAATTTAAAGCATCATAATTTTTCTGCCAAAATGTATTTTATCACATTAATGTAACCCTTTGACTTGGATAATTGCCTAGTTGTTTGAGTAGACATTGGGTAGACAATGATTTTCTTTTCTTCTTAAAATAACACTCTTCAATTATAGATAAGTGTGAGAGAGGAAGTAAAGTGTAGATCACAGAAAGTGTAGTTAGTTGGCAGCCATAATGAGTGTACTCATGGATGCTACTATATCCAGCAGAGGAGACTGGAATTTACTACAAATTTTCTGATTTGCATGCATTTGAAATTTAGCCCATATTTCTACATCTTACTCTTTATAGATAAACGTAGGTGCAATTTTCCTAATTCTTATACTGTAATTACAATAATAAAGAGGCTTCAATAACATTTATGATGTCCCTGTCCTATGGTGCAATGTTCTATTATTTCAATAGTACATACTGTCTCACAGCATGTGAGTACCACAAATATTTCCTTGAGAGAATCTATTATTGGCAGAACCATGGTGAATAACACAATAAAATATGAATTAAAAAACCTTATCACAAGCCAGACGGTTATGGCACATGCCTTTAGTCCCAGCATTTGGGAGGCAGAGGCATGACAGATGTCTGTGAGTTCAAGGCCAGCCTGATCTGCAGAGTGAGTTCGAGGACAGCCAAGCCTACATGGAGAAACCCTGTGTTGAAAAACAAACAAACCAAAACAAAAACCTTATCACATAAAATAAAGGTAGTGAAGTGACAAACAGAAAAATTTATCAGCTATTTCACCTTGTGGGCAAGGTGATGCTCATGTTTCAAGACGGACCATCAATGTAGTGACTCTCCTCTGTGTATTTAGATTACTTCTGAAGAACATCAAGAGCAGGAAGAAAAGCCCCAAGCCACACACAACCTTTGAAAACGTTTGGCTATATACAAGTCTTTACTAGGAAGGTTTTGATTCTCAGACTTTTTTTCTCCTTTGGTGCTTAAAGACAAGTGTCATATTGAAGTCTTGCCATGAAGATGGCAGGAGATTTCATTCCTGTAAACTGTGACTCCAGAGAAGAAAATTATTTGTGTCTATAGGAACATCCAATGGTGAGCATAGCTGTATAATATAAGCACAACTAATTTAAAATACCAGTGCCTGTATTCAAGTGTAATTCAAGCATATCCTTTCTAAAACCAATAGATTTCAAGGGGGCAGAGCGCAGTGAGAATACTGCAGTGAATCAGTGATGCACCCTAAACACATGCAACCTGCTTGCATATTTAGTTCTTAGACACAGGTGCCTTGGAGGAAAAGAATCAGAAAGACTGCCAACCTGGGGGGAGGGGGTAAAGACCAGGGAAGTAGGGAATAATTAGAAGTGTGAAAATTTCCATGGATTTTTAAAAATATAACTCTGTATTTTATAAGACTATCTGGTAGATATGAAGAGTGTTTTAAGACATAGTAAAAATCTGAATGAATTAACAAGTGCTCATTTTGTTCTCATAGAAAAAAACAAAATGGGTGAACACATTTTAACTCACTCTGCACTTAGAATCTTCATGAAAAGGTATCAAATTGAAAAATCCCTTAGTCTAATATTAACACCTATACTAGATATAATATTTTAACTGCCCAAGTGAGTGCTGAATTAGACACAGGCATTTGAATCTATAGTGGCAAACTTTCAAATACAAAATAATGTATTTGTTATTCATTTAAATTTTTATAGGTTCAAGGAAATTATGTGGATTTATTTTTAACTTTATCATTAAGATTAATTAAAAACAATTAAATGTCTTATGAAAATCAATCTGTCATCTATCTGAATATATATATATATATATATATATATATATATATATTCAAATGTTTTTTTTTCTCTGCATTTAATTCTCTCCCCTTAGCCCCTTAAGTACTATGGTTTTAGGGATTAAATGTCCTTCAATATACACAGTCAAAAACAATACTTTTATCCTCTTTTGTTTTTCAATAAAATAGATTATTCATATTAATGCCAAATACTATGTGATATCCAATTCTAGTTCAATTCAGTTGGAAGATGAACATTGCTAACTATTCACAGGTTAGGTTTTTACACAAAAATGTCATCATAGAGTGACAGGATGGGGAAAGTCTTATTTACATTTTAAAATCAACACACTTAATATGAATTCTAAAGAACAGTTACAAAGATAAACAATTCTGCCATTTCTTTAAAAAGTCTTTGCAGCTTTTTTTTTGTTTAGTGAAACCAGAGTGGACACTCGACTTTCTCCAGGATGTGCTTACTGAGTGCTGGTCTTTCAGTTAGTTCTTTGTTGTCAGAAGTGTAAGAACAGGAGAGTACCCAGCACTCAGTAGCTGAGGCAGTTGGATCTCTGTGATTTAGAGGCCAGCCTGGTCAACAGGGCAATTTGCAGGACAGGCTCCAAAGCTACACAGAGAAACCTTGTTTTGACACCCTCTCCAAAGAACTAGAGAGTAACTAACTGCATATGAGAAGTAAGACATCACAGCAAACATAAAACAATACTTATTATACATATTTTCTTAATTCCCAGTAAAAGGAAAACGATGAAGTTGAGTAATAACTGAAATAACAGCATGATTTGAACAGAATGGAAGAAGAAAGATTGCCAGTGTTCCAGGGTCTAAAAAAATCAGAACTATTAAAAGCAACATTGTCCTTTTAAGTCGAAATTTGAATAAATGCCATAGCAAGGAAATATGTTTAATTTGTTTCAAAGTACAGTCATATAAACGTTAATGATAGTTATTTATGCTCAAGAGTGGTGCCATCAGCAGAAATACTAACATTGCCAGAGATACTATGTGTCTTCCACATCTCAAAAGGTATAAGGAAATCTCAGTGCATTTCTGGAGTTACCACTCCTCTCATTCTGGAAGTGAGATGAGGTACTGAGGGGGAACTGTCCTCAAGCTCTAATGACACAAGGGCTTGGGAGTTTAGAAAGCTCAATTCTCAATTTTCTGGGAGCAGAACCAGAAAGTCCCATGGCTACTTATGTCTGGAGTTGTCTCTGCTCCAGGCTCATCACTGTCATCCTGGAACAGAGTGATTTTGTAGACCCTGTTGTGCACATAGTGGATACTGAGAATGAAGCTGAGAAGTGACTGAAGAGCAGCAAGAAAATGGTCTGAGTGCGCTGCAACAGAGAGGTTTCCACTGACCTCGCATGATTGGCTTAAAAGATTATGGGGGGGGGAGGGGAGGAGCAACTGGCAGTGATGAAAATTTGTGGTACAGCTGTAAAGGAGATGAGAGGAATCTGAGAAAGCTGCTAATAGTCTTCTCAACAAGGAAAGCTGAAGATCGCATGCTAAGAGTTACCTTACTGGATCTTTTCCAACTCTTCCTCATTAGCATTGTCTGCAAATGAAATAAAGCACTTCATTATCTTCATCTAGTACAGAGCAGGGCAGCCATTGTTTGCTAGGGGACATGTAACAGTAATTAGCTCTTTAAATAGCAAACTGTTTCCAGCAACACAAGACTGCTTCACACACACACAGACACACACACAAACAGACACAGACACACAAACACTTTCTCTAGAGTGCACGTGGATGCACACACACACACACACACACACACACACACACAGAGTGGGGTGGGGGAAGGTAAATGGAGAAAGGGTGGAGGGAGGGAGAGAGTCTTTAACATTCAAGCAGTCTCTTCCTCCTGAGAGATCACTTGCATTATTCTTTGATGAAGAGGTGAGACAGTGTATTTTAAATATAATGGAAGACTTGGAATTGTAATTAGTTAATTCTAAATGAAAAGTACAAATTGATTTTCATGATTTTCCCTTTTGGAGGGGAGGGTTGTGGATACACTTGACTTAATTGGGTATATAGCATTTTTCCTTCTGCCTATTGCTGTGCTACATTGTGGAAACATTTATACATTTAGTTATTTTTTAACTGTATCATTGTATACAATAATCCCAACTCAGAAAAATTCTGCTTAACTATTTTTTACTAAAATATAACCTTTATAATCTGTTTATGCCACAGTAAGATGTTGGCTTGGCTATATGTTTTAATTAAGCTTCTTACTTATGTACTTGTCTGTCACAAATACATAAGACCATTGGTTTCCTGTATTTGCAGAAAGCAAAATCTGAAGAGTCCCAAATTTAAGTAATTCTCCTATTTACTATTAAACATTTCCCTGAAGTACCTACATGTAAACCTTGCTCTTTATCCTACCATGTCTTATGGTTGTCTTTGAGGCCAATGAAGAGGAAAGTGGAGAATATTTCAGGGAGACGGTGGTTTCTAGGGAAGCTTACAATGTCTGTGTTAGGGAACTACATCAATGTTAAGAGCTCCATCTCTTTGATCAGAACTCACTATGAAAAAGATCCAGTCTAGAAAGCATTAAAGCCTCTTGAAACTACAGGACAGAAAGTACTTCACATAAGACTAAGCCATTCTTTGTCCTGAATGGAGATGGAATTGCATAGCAACTTTTGAGTAGGAAATAGAATGGTAACATTCCTAAAGACAGTACTAAGTTGCTTTTTAATTTCTCTATTAACCCAAACATTTCCAAAGATTATAAAAATCTACCTCCTTGTTTTTCAAGTAGAATTGGATAAAAACAAAGCATTGTTAACAAATAGTACAAATCAGATAGTTTATATTTTCTAAGTGCTAAGGTCTATTCATTGGATAAACAGACATGGGAGACACCAACAACAATAACATGATCATGTTATCACCAAAGGTCACATGCAACCAAATTCTTCAATGGTTAACTAGACAAAATCTCCACAGTCAAGAGTCCAATAACAAAGGTTTGACTTTATCACCAAACAGTCTCAATACATTTGATCATGGCAATCTTTAGAGACAGTATTTTGAGTCAAAACAAGTAAAAACAATTAGAATAAAGAAATAAAGATTAAAACACCTTGACCATTTATCAGCATCATTAAGCTCTAAGGATCCTATAAATTTGATTCTTTAAGAGATATTAGGCTATGAAAGATGGGTGAGAATATTAAGAAGGGTGGACTGTCTTGGCAACACTTGACACCATTTAGGGACACATGCTTCTAAACAGAGCAACAAAAACATCACACACAATTCACTTCTGATATAGAAAACAGAACAATATACAACTCTGGCTTTTTCCATGTCTCTCAAATTTTGGTTGTATTTTTCAAACTGGGAAGCTGATACAAGGATAACAGCCATGATTTGTCAGCTACAAGGCCATTTCCTTTTCCTGAATTAGTATAAAAAATTCTTCTGTAGAGCTGCCGTAGACTGTCAAAATGGCCTCAAATTTTATAACAAAAATTCTGCCTCGTTAGTCAATCCTATTAGCTTATCAATTAATGAAATGCCCCACACAAAAGTTCTTTTTCCTTTTTTAGATACTTGGGTTAAAGAAGATTCAATTACAGTAATTCAGTAGAAAAGTTAAAATGAAAAACAAATGAACTCAATAGACAAAGTATTGATATTGCCATCTTTGTAAACTATGAGATCTATTAACGTAAGACTGTTTGGGGAATGTTAAAGATAAAAAAACAAGGCAAATTCTAGAAATAAAAGATTTAAATTTTGCTTCATGGTTGTAACTTCAGTCAAGAAACATATGAATTACAGTTTTAAAGTTTCAGTGCTCATTAATACAGCACCATTTAAGTTCTTCACTAGCAATTCAGCTTTCCTTGAAGCCAAAATAAGGAATAAGTGACATAAAAATATGGCCAATGAAAGAACTGTAAAGGCAACTGCCTTAAAAAGTTTTACAATCTCATTTTAACTTCCTTTTGTTATCATTTTAGTATGTTATTCTGATACTATGCATTCAAAAAAGCACAGAATAGATAGTACACACTTCTTATAAAGCATATACATTCAACACTTCATAAATTGATACATCTTCAAACATTGTGTGAAAGCTATAAGACTTATCAAAGTTAAAGTATAAAAATAGTTTTTAACTCAACAAAGGCTACATAGTATCAATTCATATGTTTCTAGGCATTTTTTGATTTTTAACCTTAGGCACAGATGCATAGCTCTACGTTATCTAAGAGAGTGGGTAACAAATTAACTCACTTTTATGTCACAAATTCTCCAATGAAGAGAGCTGGGGATTGAACTCTGCTAGAAAAAGAGCCAGAAAGAACCCAAACACACTGTCAAACAAAAATACATGTATGGGACACACATGTATGTATGACATACTTTTTCAGGTTCAAAACAGAACATGCAGTCAGAACAGAAATGATAGGTGTGCCATGCAGCCAGCTACATGCTGTCCATGGAGGATATGGCTTCTTGTACACACAATGCTGGGGACTCAGAAATAGTTGTACATGTATCTGTTCACATCTTGAAATTTTAAAACTACACTCAATCATGTACTTGATGCAGATTTTTATATTGGCAACAACGAAATACATTTTCCACACATCTTAAATTGTCATAATTAGATGTTATATGTTGTCAAGGTTTTAGTAAGTGGGCTCTATGATACTAAGTATGGTGTATTTCCAGCTCTTCCTTAATGTAAGTATTCCATTTCCTACTTGATCGTTAGGACATATTTGTTAAGGTTTTTGAAACTCATCTCTCATCCTTTGTCTGTTTTAACCCATGTAAAAAGCTTTTATGAATAAGGAAAGGTTGTGTAGTTATTGAACTAAAGTCTCTGTCCCAAAAGCCCCAAATAAATGATTTCTGAGCTCTTAAAGAGAACAGAAATCTTCTTTTCTCATGTTGTTCTGTATGGAAGAGCAAAGTTACCCTTCACTCCCTCACTATAAATCATTCACAGTGATAACGACTACGAAGCATCCCATCACTGATAGAGGATTTGAGTCCAGATTTCTTTTTTGAGTAAGATTTGTTTCTGTGTAATTTGTGCAAGTTCAGAATGCCAATTTCACTGAAGTGGTATGTTCTACATTCAGAATGTATCCCAGAAGAATACAGCTAAACATTAAAACACTAATTTTAAGAATTTACTTAAAGAAGTTAGATCATTATTTAATCATGACATAATGGATTTTGTAGCAACCACAATGACTTGACTATTAGAGTTCGAATAAAAATAAGATGATACTAGCTCCCCCTGTTCTTTGAAACATTCCTTCAAATTATCACAGACACACCTAAGACATTGAACAACCACTAGGTATAGTACAGATGTACTATTATAATATACATGTAATAAATGTACCTTACACATATGCCACTCCTCAAGAGGAAAGTATACAAGATGAAGGTGAGGTGAAATGTTGGCAACACAGACAACACATGACAGATTGGACTTGAGAGGCAAACTGTGGAAGAGTTTATGTGACTAGAAGTCTTAAGTGAGAGAACATATGTTACTTGTTGCAAAGCTGTTAGTTGGGAGTTTCCATTTACTGTTGAAACAGCTATTTCAACAATTAAAAAGATAAGAGAATTAAAGAAATCTGACAGATAAAGGATAATATTTTAATTCATATTCAAACTACACAAATTTGTAAATCCTGAAATTTTATATAACATGTATACGTTGTTGTTCATATTAGCACATCTATTAACATTTATCATTAGATGGAAATATTTAAATTCCTTTTTTCTTAGCCTTCTAAAATATGCAACACATTATTGATGGCTATAGTCACCCTACTGTATGCCAGTATATCAGAAATATTTGTTTCAAACTGTCACTTTCTTATTGACAAATCCTTCCCATCCTTCTCTTCCCCAAACTGATTCCAGTTTCACGGAATCACGGTTCTGCTTTCCAGCTCTATGAGATAACTTGGTTCTCAACACGAGTGGGGGGTAGTATGTGTTCCTTATCTTCATTAATGTCCAGTTCTATCTGCATTACTGCAAAAGACAGGAATTCATCCTCTTTGTAGTTGATTACTAACTATTCCACTATGATTGTGTTCAGAATGTTGAAACTTAGAAAGCTTTGTTGCTAAGTAAACCTGGATACAAAGCTCCTGAAAAAAGTATCAATAGAACAATTCTTTAGGCCAAATAAAAAGCAACATCTCAAAAAATTCTATGCATTTATAGGTATACACTTAGAAACTCACATTTCAATATAATATAGTATATTAGAATACTCGAAATACAAGATCCCAGTAGACTTTCCTAATTTTCTCTATTTTATCTTTCATCCATCCCCTATCTTGGTCGTCTATTGCCAAGCACATGCCTCACTGTTGATCACAACCATGAGGATGAGCTAGGACAGCCGATGGACTCACTCTGCTGTCCTTCCTGGGGTGTGACCAAGGTCAGGATGAGAAGCCCAGGAGTGTCCCAGCCAGAAGCTGACCTTGGTGTTGCTCTGGAGCCCTGGCTTCGCTCTGCCTGAAACATTTGTTTTTCTGAAGAGAACAGGGGCCAGGGGTATTAGTAACAGGATGGAAAAATGCACCATTTCCCATGTGGATGGCAGACTAATCCAGAACAAATGGAGAAGGCATGGGGTAAGGCAGTGAATGAGGACAGTAAAGAAATTGCTCAAACACAAATAGTCAAAGTAATTTGAGTTATGGAAATAGCATGATAGTTTTTAGAAGAGAAATCTTCATATCAAAGGTGAATGTGGCTAGAAATAAACAATGAAGAGAAGGAAATGAAAATAAATTAAATGGGTTTTTGATTAATAACTTTTCTATTACTCATTTATTTCCTTTGCATTCCTGTGTAAGAAGTCATTGATGGTCAGTTGTTAGTTGCTATAATTTTTTTCTAAGTAGAAACATATGGCATCTGCGATGTAAGTTTGGAAAGACACTGAGGTTTGAGAGTGGGTTCCAGGACTGTTGAAAATAAATAATAAGAGAAATCTTGCCAATGCTCATATTTCATTCCAAGTCAGAGTATCCCAGTAGCTTCTTTGTTGCTATTGTTGCTATCTTGATAACTAACTCAATCCCTTGAGACCTTTGGTTGATGCTAGGGTAATTAAAATGGTTCTTTTAATGGAGAAATTCTCCTGACTATCCATCATCAAATGACCAGCAGCCACACCATTCTAATAATACTGCAAGTGTGGGTGGTTCAGGGATATACGGGACTTTGAGCACCAGTTATCTTCAATTATGAAGTGCTGCTATGAATTAAAATAGCAAAGAACACCAACACATGAATATTCTATCTCCATTTTTTTTGGGTTTGGTTTCAACCTCTTACATGCATACCTGTCAACCCCCTCCATATCCCCTCTGAGGATCTCTATTTAGAACCTTGTCATCTTTCACTTAGACTTTGCACAATAGCTTCCTGATCAGACTCCATGTCTTTAACACGTTTTATCTAACATATTGACAGAGATAAGATTATTTTACAGTCAAATACAGTATGCTATTTATTTCCCCTTTGCAGACCTTGCCAAAATATTTCATTGCTATTTGGATAAAGGTCCCATATCATACCACGGACAATGTGCCTTCCACAGTCTAGGCATCTCTCTTCCCCCTTGTACCAAGGAGCATGGCTGCCACATGCTTTACTCTGTCTTCCATATGCTCCTCTATCTCTTCAGTTCTTGGAACGCAGCATGCTTCTCTAGTCACGGCATCATTGTATTGTTCCTTCTTCTACCTTAAATACTTCTCTCCTTGAGTTTTGTTTCTTTGTAATTGTATCAATACTTCCTACTTCAGTTTCCACATGACTTCCTTAGAGAATCCTAGGCCCACACTGATTGGAACAAATTTCCTGTTTATTTTGTTTTTTCTAGGTATGTGCCTTTCTTTCATAACACCAAACTAGTTGTCACCTTCTTTTGACTCAGTGAATCACTGATGTGTCCTAAGTGCCAGCACAGAAGCTGCCTTACAGTAGGCTTCTGGTGATCATCTGAATAATTTAAATCAAGTATAAAATTAGCATTTAGAATGTACTCCTAATGACTGACTAGCCATCTAGAATTCACTTCCTGGTTTGTACTACTGGTGACTTCTAACTGATGGGCTTTCCTTGTAAATGACAACATTCTTTGAGAAAGCTTTTCCTCGGATATCCCTCCATCTGCACATAAGAGTACTTACTCAGCTACACCATGTGCTCACACCAAGTGCTATGTACACTTACTCACACCATGTCCTCACTGCAAGGCTATGTATACTCATTCACACCATGTCCCCACAGCAAGGCTATGTATTCTCAGTCACACCATGTTCTCACAGCAGGGCTATATATATTCAGCCTCACCAGGCTACATTCTTCCTCAGCTACCACTCCACCTGCACACATGTATATAGAATCATGCCATGCCATGCTCTTCCTCAGTTGCATCCATCTGTACAAACGTATTGCAGTCACGCAAAGGCCATATTCTCATAGTACATGCTACTCAGCCACACCATGCCACATTCCTCCTAGGCTACGACTCCATCTGTACACAAGTTATGTAGTCACACTATGCTATGTTCTCAAAGCAGGTGCCATGTAATAAGACTTGTTAATATTTGAAAAAGTATGGTTTCCCCAGTAAATAGAGTTTTAAAATGATACACATGACCTTGTATGCCTATTGAAAGAAATTCTTCTTAAAGGGGTGAATTTTCTTTGGTGAGTTTTAAAAATAACTTAAAAATTTGAAGTTGGGATCCACTATTCTTATTAAAATGTCAGCAATATATTTTAAGATATAATACATACCAACTTGAATGACACAGTTTTAAACAGGAATATAGGCATTGTTGAAAGAAGTTTTTGGAGGAGCCTCCAACAATTATAGCTACAACAAAATTGCATCAGAGCTATAGTAGTTCCTAGGCATATACAAATATTAAGCCTACAAAACATTCTCTGGCAAATTGTGGCGGAACTACTCCACCAAGCATACCGAGGTGGATCACAGAGGTACACTGGCAAGCACACTGATATGCATCGCACCTGACAGGGTGTGGGAGGCACAGCTTCCTCGGTAGGCCTTGTTCATTTCTCTTAGCAGCATGGTGTGTAAGGAAGTACAAAAAGCTAGTGCTGAGATGTGAGAAGTATCATGGAAGCCCATCAAGGAATGAAGAGTACACATTTATTCAGTAAACAACCACCAGAAAGCAGAAACTCTGTTATAATTTTTTATAATTTCAAACTTCGTTATAGTTTCGTTGCACATTTGGCAATATAGTCAAAATAGTAGAGTGGCTGATATCTCCATGTATTCCCTGCAAGAATACTAAGATTTACCTATAATAAAACATGTCTCAAATTGGTTAATAAAATTATAAGGATTGAAAATCTTCTTATTTACAACAAGAGGTTCTGATCTGGAGTATGAGACAGGAAATTTCAGTTGTAAAGACAAAATGGGCATGGATGATTTCTATCCAGGTACTCACAGCAACCCAAAGTGGGCTAGAGTTCTATGTGCATCCACCTGTTATCCCCCTATCCCCTGAGAAAGCTCTCAGGACAGGAGCAAGTAGGAGCCAAAAGAGCTCCAGAAGACTTACCACATCCCTGGGTTCGCCTTCCTTAGGGGTAAGGATGACTGACAGCAAAATGATTCCAAGGTCATGGTCAGGGTAATGGGGATCTTTCAGAGTTAAGGACACATCCGTAGACCTGTGATATATAATAGTTAGATTGGAAATAGTCATTTAGTGAACAACCCCAAAGTTATTTTAATCAATAATTCACTGTTCACAAAAATTTTTACTCTTTTGGTTTCTTAGTACAGTTTTTTTTTGTTCTTTTCAAAATACCATTGTATTAAATCATCCAATAATCTTCATGTCTGTTGAGGTGCTTGAATTCATTGGGCAAATTTCTTCACTTTCTCAGGTTCTAGAAGGTTGCTGAAAGTAACAAAACTGTTCAAAGGTCGATGAATCCCCTTTCTATGACCTGTGAGCTCATAGGGAGAAGTCCAGCTCTTTTTTGTACTTGAAGATCAGCAACAGAAAGAAAGTCATAGTTTCTCTTAGATATGTAGGATTTTTTTTTATTTAAAGGGGTAATTATTTAAAAGAAACAAACATGTGAAGAGAAAGCATAACTTGCTCCACATATTTTATACATATATTTTAAGGCAACATATAATTACTTAAAAGAACAGCAGGTATTTAAAATAATGTTTTTTTGCTTTGGGGCTGTGTGAACCTATGCCTAAAACAATTAACACAGAAATATTACTTAGAGTTGAACAATGAAGAATTTATATTTTGATTGGGTAAGCATTCCTGAGGCAGAGAGGATGAATAATTTAGTATTTATAAATCACTTTTAAGAAGTAAATAAAAAGTAAACATTTATTTGAGAATGCATAAGTAACATTTTACCTATTGCAATCAACAGTGAACAGACAGGGCTCATGAGCCACCACAAGCCAGTTTCTGTAGAACATGGAACACCAACCCCAAACTAAAGAATCATAGGATGCTTGGCAATAAAACATCTTTTTTCTCATTTTCTTGTTCATCAAGTTGTTTGTTGTGCTCACAAAGAGAACACCATGTACATATTAAGTATATTATAGAGCTTTCAATTTTAGTAAAAGCCAGAGATCGAAACCAAGGGGATTCCTGTGTTTACAGAACTTCAATGTTAGTACAGTTTAGTTCTGATATGGTAAATAGATATTTAGGTTAAATATGACCCAAGTGAAAAATTTCAGTCTTACCTATCAGTTTTAATTGTTTTTCTTGTGTGTGTGTGTGTGTGTGTGTGTGTGTGTGTGTGTATTCTTGAAGTTCACCTCTGAAGAATCTGTGAATGAGTGGTGCAGATTTGAACTGGGTATGTGGAGGGGATTAGAAGTCTCTGTATTCCTAAAGTTCCCTGCCAAATGATTTTCTCACACACCTGGGATTTCACAACATAGATTATTTCCAATGTGAGCATCATGGTACCAGGTACTCTGTCACATGATGTTTAACACATTAAGTTAAGGTGTGATGTGTGAAAATGTGAACTATTTTGCCATGTCACAGGTTTAATTGAATCATACCCAATCTGTCTGCAAATTGTTTTCAACATTAATTTAGATATAAGTAATCATTAAATAGCAACAGCGGTCTTTATTACTTATTCATACATATATGTACATATATGTGTGATTTTGTGTACATGTGTCAGCAGGGTACATGTGTCCAGTGATGGCACTGGAATACAATTGTGAGTGTAGTAGAGGCCAGGGGTTGATGATAGGCATCTTCCTCAGTAACTTCCACCTTAAATTTTTGAGCCAAGGACCACCAGTGAGGTCTGTCTCCAACTTATCTAGTCTGGCTGGCCCATGGGCTCCAGGAATCTACCTGTTTCTAGCTCTCCAATGCTGACATTATAGTTGTGTATCACTGTGTCCAACTTGTTTCAAAGATTATAGAGATCAAAACTCATGTCTTTATGCTCATACAATTTACTATCTAATTTACTATCTAAACTGTATCCAAAGTCAACTTGTCTTTCCAAACAAGAGTATTTCACATCATAGTGCATATACACAGTATATACATATATGTTGTTGAAATTAGATTAGGTTTCTTTTCAGATAGAGAATATATATATATATATATATGTATATATATATATATAAAATTTTCATTAATTCTGGAGTGATCACAATCCATATCTTAAGATATATTAAAGTCATAATAATAAATACAATATGGTACTGCCACCCAGGCAGACATGTAGACCAATGGAATAAAACTAAAGAGCTAAACATGAGCACACATAACTTCAGCCACTTAATTTTTGATAAAGACACCAAAATTGTACACTGGAGAAAAAGCATCTTCAAGAAATATTGTTAGGACTAAACACTGAGCTGAACTGAAATCCAGATGCAAAGAGGGAGGAAAGGCTACAAAGACCAGGCTACAGAAACCCACAGAGACAGCTGGCCTGAACAAGGAGGAGCTAATGGGCCCCCAGACTGATAGCTGGGAAACCAGCATTGGACTGACTCAGACTCCCTGAACATGGGTCTCAGTTAGAAGACCTGGGCAGTCTAAGGAACCTCTGACAGTGGAACCAGGATGCATCCCTGGTGCACAAAAAGGTGCACATTCCCCATGGAGGGATACTCCCTTAACCTAGAGGCAGGAGGGAGGGCCTAGTCCCTACTCCAAATGACTTGACAGATTTTGTTGACCTCTCCTGGAAGGCCACCCAAATGTGGAGTGGAAGTGGGAGGGTAGGAGAGAGGGAGGGAGGGAGAAGAAACTGGGATCAATATGTAAAATAAGAAAAATTAATAAATATTGTTAGGAAAATTGGATGTCCACATCCAGAAAAAAGAATGAAATTAGATCTATATCCATCACCTTGCACAACCACCAAGTCCAAATTCATCAAAGACCTAAACATGAAGCTGAAACACTGAAACTGCTAGAGAATGTATGGACAGGACCTTACATAATACAGGTGTAGGGAAGGACTTTGTGAATAGGAGTCTATGTGTCAAGAATTAGGGACAAAAATTGACAAGTGGAACCTCATGAAACTAAAAATTTCTTCACAGTTGAAAACATCAACCTAGTGAAGAGGAACCCCACAGATTGGGAGAGTCTTTGACAGTTATTGAAGACTAATATTCAACATATACAACAAACTCAAAAGCAAACAGTCAAAAAAATGGTGCATTAGAAAAATGGGTCTGTGACCTGAGTTTTCAGAAGAATAAATAAATAAATGGCTAAGAGATACCTCCCCAACATGTTCACCAATCCCAGCAATTAGGTAAATATACATCAAAACAACTTTGAAATTATTTCATTTTACCCCATTCAGAATGGCAAAATCAATGAAACAACCAACAAAAAATGCTACAGGGATGTGGAGAAAGGGGAGTCCTCATTAGCTGTTGATGAGATTATAAACTGGTGCACCTACTATGAAGATCAGTGGGGAAAATTTCTTGAAAAGCTAAGAAATAAATCTACCATATGACCCAGCTATGCCACTCCTTGGCATATGTTCAAAGCACCTGGCATTCTATTCTGAAGATTCATTGTTGCTCTATTCACTATAGATAGGAAATAGAAACAACCCAGATGCTCTAAACAAACAAATGGATAATGAAAATGCAGAACAAATGTGCTATTGAATGCTATTCGGCTGTAAAGAAAAATGAAATTATGAGCTTTGCAGTTAAATGGGGGAAACTAGAAAAGATCACATGGAGTGAGGTAACACATACCCATGAAAAAAATTACCACACGTTCATTTGTATTGGGGGATCCTAGCTCCAAATCTTCTAATATGAATACATAGCCTGTAGTAACTATAGACACTATAACATTAAAATAGAATCATTGCCAGGACTGGTGGGAGGCTGGAGACCAATGGGGAGGGGAAAAGAGGAGTACAATTGATCTCATCAGGAAAAGGGGAAAGGGAGCATCTTTTTAGGGAAGAGGGAGGGAGGTAAATACAGATGAAGGTAGGAGCTAGATAAAGGGAATAGCGTGATACAAATATTCTGATAGGGAAAATGGAGAAAGTGGGGACTCTTTAGGGAAGGGGTAGGAAAGGAAATACAGAAAAAAAATGGCATGTAGGTAAAATACTAATAAAGATTCTGAAAAGGCCATCAGGATTCACACTATTAATTATTTACAAAAAATTCTATAATACATATACTTTCATGTATAAATATACATGTACATATTTAATGAACTTTTCTCACCTGGGTTGATGTATCCAAGAATGAAAAACCACCTAACAAAACCACAATACCAGCTATCAGAAGCCCTCTTTTGAGTTGTTGGCCAGGGTTGCAGAAGAGACTGCCCAAACATACAACCTATTACTGTTGTCCTTTTCTCCCCCCTTACCTCTGAGTGGTGGAAGGCCTAGTCCTTACTGCTGAAGACACCATGGACTTCTGACACAGGGCACAGAGGTCCCTGAGCTGAAACTGATCTGACAGCCCCTGACTGAGGACTAGCTTGCATAGTACTAGAAGACACCATGCAAGATTCCAAAGAAGGGAGAGTCCTACCTAGATATACCAATAAACCCATCAACTGCTATAACACAATAACCCCAAGGATGCTGTGATGGCATGCATTCATTGGCAGTAACCAATGGTTCTTTAATTGGAATTATAACTCATTTTAGAAGAGGAAGACTATGCTTGGTACTGAAAACCCAACCAACTACTTAGTGCTAGCGAGTCACTATTATTGGAGAAAAATATACAACCCCTAATTTACTAAACCACGATAATCCCTAATAATCTATACACATTTGCTCTTATACCTACAGATAATTGTAGTCTTTGCCCTCATTAAGAAAACTTGTCTTTGCAATAAATGGAGACCATTGTGAAAAGTCACAATCAATAAAAATGTAGAGTTCTGAAGTCCAGTTCCAATGGATACATGTACAAAACACTCCTACACCCAAGGCTCAGGAAACATGGTGGAAGAGAAATGGAAAATTTTAACAGCCAGAAGATCAGAGAATTGGTTGTGAGATTGAGTCTCCTAGCAACATCAGAAGCTATACCCATAAATTCCCACCGACATGGTTATCCAAATGTGATCTTAACAAGGATGACAACAGTGAAATGCCAAACTGGAGAGAGAAATAGTCCACGAGGCCTCAACTCTACACAAAGGACAGCCAAGGATAGCTGGGCACGGGAGATGTGGCCTGTACCAGGAAAGAACACCAGGACTGGTTGTCTAGTGCCAAATAGTCAACGCTGAGAACATACAGACAAGTTCTATTGTGTAGACTGAACATATTGAGTGTGTATATACACAAAGTTGGTGAGATAGAAGCTGCAAATTTGAAGGGAAGCAGGAAGAGGTATATAAGGGGGCTAAGAGGGAGGGAAGGAAGGGAGAAACGTTTCATTGAATGACAAATCTCAAAAGTTAAAAAAGTCACATTTTTAGAATCACTTTAAAGAGATTTGGGAACATTTACAGTTGCTTTATGAGACTCTTATTATTTTCTTTCATTTAAAAAATAGTTAGGTCAAGCCAAGCACGGTGGAGCATGCCTTTAATCCTAGAACGCAGGAGGCAGAAGCAGGAGTTTCTCTGTTATTTGGAGGCCAGCCTGGTCTACAAAGTGAGTAGTTCCAGGACAGCAATAGCTGCTATAGAGAAACCCTGTTTTGCAAAACCAAAATAAAATAAAATATTTATGTTATTTTGTTTGAATAACTCCCCCAAAAGGAAAATATCTACAGTAAAATAAACATTAAGATCCACATTAATAACTCTAGACTGACAGTTGTGGAGCCTCTATGGGACTGAACTAGACCCTCTGCATGTGGGAGACAGTTGTGAAGCTTAGGCTATCTGAGGGACCCCTGGCAGTAGGACCAGAATCTGTCCCTGGTGAACGAGCTGGCTTTTTGGAGCCCATTCCCTATGGTGGGATGCCTTGCTCAGCCTTAATGCTCGGGGGAGAGACTTGGCCCTGCCCCAACTTAATATGTTATAATTAGTTGACTCCCCATGGGAGATCTTATCCTTTGGGCAGAGTGGGGGGGCTGAGAGGGGGAGGTGAGGGGAGTGGGAAGAAGGATTGTAGGGAGAACTGTGATTGCAATGTAAAATGAAATTTAAAAAAATAAATTTAAAACATAAAAAAGTCCAAGTTAATAAGGAATATGTTATTCTAATACATTAATTGCTATCACGTTATTAACCAATAAATGCTCATGAAGCTGATGTAAAACAACTATGACATACCAAATTAATCACGTGTTTGGAGATATTTTATCATTAAAGAAAACTGATTTTTTTTTCTCTCCCAGAAATTATTAAGTTCTAAGTTTCTCATCTGTTGGGTTTTTTCATATGCCTTCCCCTCTATACTATATTTTAGTCTGGCTGGTCAAACTGGATAACTACATATAGAAGAATAAAACTAGATTATTATTTTCTTTTAAGGAGATACCCCAATACATCTATAGCAGCAAACATTTGCATGGCTGTGATTAATATCCATTTTTGGCATCATTGAATTGTACACAAGCTAAAATAACATACCAAAGCTTATGAGGTTACAAGGTGGTCATCTGATGTGTACATGTCCTTATGGTGGTGGTAGCTAATGAATTACACAAAATATGCAACATACCTAAGTGTACATGAAATGTTTGCTTATAATCTCTTTAAAGTTCTTTAATTCAATAGTTGTTCATTTAAAATTATTTTTCACCAATGATTTTTTAAATAAGGAATAAGAGATATTTATGCTTTAAGTCTTATAATTTGCATACAGTTAATACAGTAGTTTACAGAAAATGTAATTGTAGCCTTTGAAAAGAACATCAGAGTCCATTTCAGTTTGCATCAGGGCTCACAATAACAGAGCACAGACACCATCACTCAGAACACTTTCTCTAAATAGAGAGAACCAACAGTCACTATGCTCTATCCTCAGGGCGAGCCATTGTTAGTATCTTCAAACTGTAGGAAGACAGCAAAGGCTGCCCTTTTGTTTCCCCCGATGCAAAAACATGAATGAATAAATCTACTGGAAGACCAATGAACTAGTTCTATCCTCAAAGTTAGCTTACTATAGCATACATAGAGGTTTCCCCATGTGTATTCATCTGTTCATCTGTATTAATTCAAAAAAGAAATAATAGTCTAGCCTATGACACTTCTTTCCTGTTTCCTCTGATGTAATGTGATCAGTCAAGAAAGGAATTCCATTTGCAACTATCAAAGATTTCATTTTGAAGTCTATTTTTCCTTCTACATTCTAGTCAGTTATTAGTTCCTATAACAAAATGTATTTTGAAAACTCCATGCCCATTGTCAGGGACTGAGTTAGGAATTATAACATTGGAGCTTCTTAAATACTGATAATGAAACTAAGCAAATACAACCAACCTAACTCTATTACTCGGTACCCTATATCTGGAGATCTGGTGATGGTAAACTGTGATGCTAAAGTCAGTTCTATCATGGTTTAAGTGATGAGAAATTTGCTGTTTTTGAGGCAAAGTATGTAGCAACTTGCTTTTTAAGTAGTTACAGTCTTTATGCCAAATACCAACTAAATCATGTGAGATTAAGGAATGTATCATTTCTCTCTTAGCATAGTTCTAGGAGACAGGGAAGGTAGCCAATAATATTTTTTAAGAAAATAGTTGCTAATGAACGAGGAAGTCAGGGACGATGTTGAGAGCCCAAGGGTAAGAAAGAGTGATGAGTTGGAAGATCCCGGCTGGTGACAAGAGGACAACAGCAGGAATCTGTACTGAGTGGGGTTTCTGACATCACAGGTCAACTCTGTAATGGGGCATAGCAATGTTACAACTTTTGAGTTACCTGTTTAACTCCAATTGTGTAAGATCGAGAAAGGCTGAGCCCATAAAGTCATCTTGCAGTCCAAAATCATAGTCAAATACCTAAGAGGCCAAAGAGACAAAACATTTCAAAATAATTTTAGAAATTTTATAAGTGAAACATGTTGTTTATAAAATCTGGCTAGCTCTTCACCCATGCAATGTATTTGATATTCATTAGAATGTTAAAATTTCATAAATGTTCAAGTAAACTTAAGTTTCATCTAATATTTATTATATCATTCTGTTTGTATTAGCAATGGAAGTTTCACAGAAGGTGTAACAAAATCCAATGAAGTATAATAAATGTTTAAAAGCATGGGAATCATAGCTTAAAATACTTTTTATTATCATAGAAGAAATATCATCAAGCCTAAAATCAAAGTGACTTAGTTTAAGACTCAACGAAAATATCTGTATATTGGGCTATGGGTGATTCTATTTTATTATTCATATGTTTTAAAGTCATTAAAGATTAAATCCTTTGATATTATAGAATAATTTAATCTTGATATACAATTAGGTAAGAATACAGATATTGTGGCTAAAGAACTTTGTAAAGTTATAATAAGGTAACATCAAATTAGCTTTTTATGTTTACTAACAATTATTGGGGACAATTCTTTTGCTGTTTGTTTGTTTTGTCTTGTTATTTTCAAACAGAGTTTCTCTGTATAACAACTCTGGCTGTCCTGTCCTGAAACTGTCATTGTAGTCCATGGTAGCCTGGAACTGACAGAGATCCACCAGCCTCCCAAGTCCTAGGATTAAAAAGCATATGCCATCATGCCCAGTTATTAGGGAAATTTTTAATTAAAAATTAAAATGAAAATGTTTCTTCCTCTGCCCACCCTATTCAAAGTTACATATTTAAGTGCTAAGATAGTCAGTAAATACATAGGTACAGTTCAAGGATGAGCAAAATGCACAGTAACAGAAGCTAAAGGGACACATGGGGCTACTGTACACAAGGAGACCAGAACTGTCTCTAGGGAGATGTTGTGTGTATAGAACTGACTGGAAGGAAGCATAGATGTCACAATAATACAGGGAAGATGCTCTGGTCAGAGGAAACAAGGATATAGTGTTTACAGATCAGCAAGAAGCCAATGATATTAAGTCAAATTGAGAAAGTTGGGAAATGGAAGGTTAGAGATCTCAATGCTTAGTCAGTCAAGACCCTTCTAAAATAATATATAAATAGGAACCGGATAACTCCTAACTATTTACTGATTTTCTAGCTCATTTGTTCTCTCATCTGACAATGGCTAAATAGTTACAGTGTGCCAGGAAATATAATAAACACTGAGTAAACAGTAGCAGTGAGCAAAAGTAACATCATTAATGCTGATAGTTTAGTGAGGGAGATAGATGTTAAGCACGGAAACATATAGGTGATTTGTGATTATACATTCTGGTATGCTTTAAATAGGGCAAAAGCAATAACAACAAAAAACCCAAAACAAAGCAAAACAGCTTGTGAAATGAAACAACCCATAAAGCTACCCAGAGAAGTTTAGAGTTATGTTGTCTAATCTTTTTAAGTAGAAAATGGCTGAGCACGGGAATAAATGAACATAAAGGGATAAGTCTTTTTCTGAATAGATGACCTAGCTCACTGGATGTTTTAGGATATAAGACTCAATGAGTCAGAATCAATAGCCCAGCATTTCTGTGTCTAGTCCTTGGTATCACAGCAAGCTCAGTAAGTGGGAACATCATGCACAGTAGTTCCAAGTTTACTAGTGTTTTAACCCAGTACAGGTGTGCTTCAATTAAAAACAGCACAACCAAATGTGCAAGAAACTGATTTTTAAGCAAAAAAGATAAACACTTTGTATTACAAAATGGTTCTCAAATTTGAGGAGTCACAGGGGAATTTATTTAGGTAGTTGGGGCCTCCCTGGTGGCTATGCCATTATTCTGTTTGCAGCCATTTGATTTGCATACAAACTTGCAGAGTGTATTTATTGTAGAAAGTTCAGAACTTCTGAGCTTCTGATATCTGCTCCATGGTACATCATATGAATAGAGCACATTGTTGCCAGTACTGTACTCACTGTAATTGCAGGTGGCCACCATAGCACAATTCTAACACATTTCTCATGAAATAGCATACTTATGTTGTTCTCAAGCTTGTAAGCTTGGGAACAAGCTTGGTGACAACATACAAGGTGGAAAACAATTAATATAGGGACTGGATTACTAGACTCCTACCCAACAGGGCTATTTAACATCCAAGCTCTCTTTACCATAATGGCCAGAGTTTCTACTCTTGCAATGTTAGATATTTGCTTTAGTTCTCAGTTCCTATACATCAGAAAAGATATAAACAAGAGGGAAATGGAAACACCAGAGTTCATTTATTATGGAAATCCTTAGCTATGATACTTGATTGTAAGTTCTACAAAGTATTTGTCAGAGGGGGAATTACTCTGTTTGGATCTTCAGAATATAGCGCATAGGAAAAAGGATAACACAAAGCAAACAAACAAAAAAGGACATTTCCACTAACCAGGATGCATCCCTGGTGCACAAAAGGACTTTGGGAGCACATTCCCCATGGAGAGATACTCCCTTAACCAAGGGGCAGGAGAGAGGGCCTAGTCCCTACTCCAAATGACTTGAGGGACTTTGTTGATCCCTCCTGGAAGGCATCACACTCCCTATGGAGTGAGGGGCAGATGGGATGGGAAGGTGGTCAGGGGAGCATAGGAGGGAGGGAGAAGGAACAGGGATTGATACGTAAAATAAGAAAAAAAAAGTAAAAAACTTTAAAAAAAGAACATTTCCACTAAGCATCAACAAGAATAATTAACATTTACTCAATAATTACTGTAACTTAGGTCCTGATATAAAAGCACTGATTTTAAATTGTCAATATATTGCTTGTATTTCTCAGGTAAAGAATTTGAAAAACATTTACCATCAAATTTGAGGGTTAGGGAAAAGCAAGATTCAAAATTAGAGTATATTTAAATTCAACATATAGAACTTGGGTACCCCACCCTGAGGAAACACTGGAAATTCAAACATAAATGATTTCACATAACACTATCTGTCAAGGCACCCCCATTTTATGAGTTGGGAACATTAGGTATCATTAGGATATAAACTGTCTTGGTGATGGTTTTGATCACTTTAAATTGATTTTAAAACAATAAACAATTTACAATAAATGATAAATTTATATAACATCTTAATTTAATCATCAACTATGAAAAATTATTTGGAGTGTGTATCAGTGAAAGCACCCTCGATCGCCAGTCCTGAAACTCAACTCACTTCCTTTAATGTCAATGTGAACTTGCGAGTTCAAATGGCTAAATGTCCACAGGCAATTATGGCTACAAGGGAGATTAGTCTTCAAAGTTCCAATGTTTTCTATCCTCATTTATTTACTTGAAAAATGCTAAGTAAATTCTTTCAGTGGACCAGATTGTGTCCTAGGCACTTACAATGTATGTAGCAGTGAAATCAAATGTTTGATTTCTTGAAGCTTCTGTAGTAGTGAGATGAGGACAATAAAAATATGTGTCTAGTATTACCTAGTAAGCGAGAAAGAACCCCCCACACAAAGAGAGTGGTAGTCTGGGAGGTTCTACGATGGAGGGGCAAAGAACCAAACCAAAGGTCTGTGGGTTAAATTCCTTTCGAGCTCCCAATTACCTTCAAAACCCAGCAATGTTCTTGACCCTAAACTCATGCTGAGATCTCCAGGGTTGAATGAATCTCCACTCACATGCAGCCAGTGTGGAAGCATGAGATGTTTTGTGCATTTATTCTCAGCAAGAATTCTAAATTCACACAGATGGGCCAGCACACGCGTCTTGCCTGTTTTTGGCTGAAGATCCAGAATTAAGTGAAAGGCTAATTTATCCTTTGTGCTTTATTTATTCCTTCAACACTTTTATTTAAATTGTTTTTTTCATACAATATATTTTGATCATGTTTCCTTTCCCTCAAATCCTCCCAGATCTTCCCTACCTCCCTACCCACCCAACTTAATATTTTTCTCAAATAAATAAATAAATACATAAATACATAAATACAAAACAAATGTAACAAGCAAGTAAGCAAGCAGGCAAAAGAAAAATAAGAGAAAAAGAAATCCAAACAAAACAACATGAAACAAAACGTCCACAAAACAAACAACAACATGGAGTTTACTTTAAGTCAGCCAACTGCTCCTGGGCATGGAGCCTACCTTGAAGTTGATATATCCAGTGACACTTAAGGAAGAAAACTAATTTTTCTTTACCAGAGGACAGCAATTGCAAAAAGCTTCATGGTAAGGAGTGGCACACCATGTCCACTTCTTCCTCTCCTTGCTGGGACCCTGTCTGAGTTGGATTTGTGCAGGTCTTATGCACACTGCCGCCACAGTCTCTGTGATTCAGGTGTTGCATCAGTCTCGTCATGTCTTGAAGGCTGTTTCCTCAGGTTTTTATAATCTTTCTGCACCCTCTTCCACATTTATCCCTGAGCTTTGATGGGGGGGGCTTGATAATGACATCCCATTGAGGACTGAGTACATCGCAGTCTCTCATTTTCCATACATATACTGCCTAGCTGTGAGTTCTCATATACTGCAAGAAGCTCGTCTGGCGAGGAACTGGTCTTTTCATCCTATTAACCAAGGTGATGTCTGTTTCTGATGGTGGTCAGGTGTATTTCCTTGATGCAGCAGAAAGAGAAATCATATTTTCTGATCTATCTGTTTGTGTCTTTAGGTTAGGGGATTCAGAGCATTGATATCGAGTTATTGTCTGTGTTCATTTATTCCTGATATTTTGTTTTATAGTGTCAGTCTCCCCTTATTTTGATTTACTGTCCTCATCTCCTCCCATCCTTCCCCTCCCACACCTAATCCCTCCTGTTCCCACTCAACCCACCCCAGTTCTCCTGCAAAATCTATTCTGTTTATCTTTCACAGGAAGATCCAAGCACAACCCTTGGAGCCCTCTTTGTTACTTAGCCTTTCTGAGTCTGTGGAATGTTGCATGATCATCATAGCACTGCAACAGGATATCAGGTTTGGTGTAACTTGCATTATGTTGAGG